CCCCTTCCGGATATGATTCGGTTCATGCGCACACGTCGTGCGCATTCGCCATGTTCTTCAGAAGCAAAGATGGCCGCCTGTCGATGTAAACCTGGTCCATGTGTAGCTCCAAAAGTGTGCCTAAAACTCCACATTTCTGTCCTATGATGTTCAGCTCTTCAATACCTACTGGAATCGTCTTCATTCAGCGATCAAAGTAAGGATACTTTTGTAGTAATTACGCAATATTACAGTGAACTTTGTGTATGGAATTCTTCCCGGTATTACTATTAGCTTCCGAGGTACCGACGTGATTGACCACAAAGACTGATTTTGTCACCTTCCATTCTTAAAACCCTATGATCGGGGAGTGGGAGCTGGGACAACCAATGGGAGCTTTTCATTTTCTTTTTGCCTGGCAAGTCTTACACCTCCACCTTGCCCCATTCCCTCCCCCTTCCGAATACCGGCAAGATTTAGGCAGATGGAGGAATTCATCCATACAGGCCTAAACTGACTGTCCAAATAACGCAAATACATGTACATGTACCGAGTTGACTTGATCCCAGTCATTTGTAAAAGTGTAGGACTAACGTTACCTAGCCCAGTGGATGTCGTCTACAAATTACAATACAGGGGAAATGTACTTCCAGTAGGTATGACATATATGGTACCCAGAAGTTAAAAATGTATAAAATTATATAAAGTTTGAAACCAGAGAAATTCAGTGGTACAAACTGTAAGGTCATACAATGTTTCTATGGGAAGTTACAACCCTTTGAAGTTTCAAAGTCATCAGAGCCTTCTGCTGGGCATTTTGCTGTGACAGGCAGACCCAAGTACACATGCATTGTTTAAATGTGGTTCACAAATTGTACACTAAAAATACTTTATTTCTACTGGAAAGAATACAGTACATGTACAGTGGCTAGCCTACATGTATGACAATACAGGCCATTTGATGTTGTTGGTTGTAGGGACTGTTGTAATACTGTGCATCACAACTGCGCGCATGTATTTCAAATGTTGGCGATCGCGGTCTCATGTTTCCGCTGTTGCACTCTGGGATAGCTTGATGTTCCCATGCTGCGTGGTGGTGTATTTTTGTTCTACATTGATAATAGCTCTTCAACATCGAAATCTGCATGAAAATCGGCTGATTTTTGAGCCAAAACCGCCAATGTTCAGGTAAGGAACTAGATTTTTCTTGGTTTTAGGGTGAAGGAGTTGTGTGAATGTCGATGAATGCATTTTTAATCAATAGAATGGCATTGAAACTACTTGAAACAGCTTACCTCACGTGGGTATAGT